AACGTATTACTTTGTGAAATAAACGATGGCCAGAAGATGCCATGCACTTCTTTTTTATTTTCATTGAAATCAATATAACAATATAATAGGGAAAAATAAGTAATTTTGTGATAGGGTCCTTTGCATACTTTTAGGAGAATGAATACTTTTGGACAATGGTATTTTTTTTTTTTTCAATTGAAAATAAAAGAAGTTATTTTGTATTAGGGTACCTTGCATACTTTTAGGAACAAAAAGAAATTTTCAATTGAAAACTATTTTAGAGACAATTTTTTCATTAGAATCGACACGCCAATATGAAGGGAAAAATAAATTATTTTATGTTAGGGAACCTTGCACACTTTTAAGAACCTTAAAAAATTGGTGGTATTTTTTAATTGAAATTAAAAAAAATGGGAAGTTAATTGAAAGTTGAAAAAATGAAATAAAAAACCTTTCCCACATTCCAATTTCACGATCCTGCTGCATACTTTTAGGAGTCAGGTCTATAAAAAAAGTAGGAAGGAAAATTGCTAACCTTCTTTTGAGTTTTTTTTTAAAGGGGAAAATATGAAAGAATTTAAAAAATATACATATTTTCCAAAATGTTTTTGCAGATCCTCCAGCATACTTTTAGGGAAGTTCAGTTTACTTTTATGAGATTTAAATAAGATCAGTTACAGTTTTTTTTAATAAAATATAAAAAATTAAGCAGTATGTCAACCCTCTCTTTTATTGCAAAAAAAAAAAAACAATTTTTCATACTTTTATTTCTAGGTCTTATTGCATACTTTTAGGGGTTATCCTCAGTATTTTTTTTTTAATTTTAAAATATTCATATATTTTTTAATTCTTCTATATATTTTCGCAAATTATTTTTAACCCAAATTCAATGAGGAAGAAAGAAAATCAACCTTTCACTTGCCACCTTCTTGCCTGCTGATTTGTTACATTGAAAATCTCTTAATTTATGTCCTCTCAATTTGTGTCAACCTCAATTCGTTGAGCCGTTTGGCCCAGTTAACATGTGTTTTGCACACCTTGATGATGATTGCTCGGTGTGTCGGTTTAAATCCCAAAATTTATAAGCAATACAAATAATATGCAATGTCGTTATTGGCCATAGTTTGGCTACGTTCTCCCTCCGAGTGCATACAACTTCGACGACATATGCATGCAAGCTGTATTAATAATAAAATGAAATCTCCATATTGATTGTCAATTTTATTTATTATTAACGCTCATAATTGTCAAATTTGCCAAATTTATGGAACGCCAAGACTCAAGAGCCAAAAAAGAGCCCAAAACGAAAGAAAGAGACAAGCAAATCATTTCAAGCAAAAGAAAAAAATACAAAGTGGAAGAAGATGCAGAAGGACATATTGAGATGAACGGTTGGTTGGTTGGCTGATTTGAATGGTTCCAATAATAAAATACCCAAGTATTTTTATCCACAAATTTATGAGACAAGACAATTTTTGTGAGATCAAACCCGACGCAGGCCGAATAAGAAATTATGCAAATCTTTGGAGCAGACAGACATGGCTGTGAGTGACATTTCTTGTTTCATTGCACGCTGGCAGCCTTGGCTTCCAAATAAACTCCGGCTTGTTATTGGCATTCTAAATAGCTGTCTGTGTGATAAGCTAGAAAGCTTGATTATTGCCTAAACACAAGACCTCAAATTGAGTCAAACATGGAATTGATTAAAAATTCTTTGATTTGATATCTTTTCATTTAAGTTTGGAAACCTTTGTTTGAAGTTTTTTCTTCATTCTCTTGTTTTGCAATTTTGTTTTGGCATCATTTTATATGGCCGCCACATGATCGTACGTCAACTTTACACCACAGGAGGTTGAAGTTTATTTTGTATATTACATGATGTTCTTTTTTTGTTGTTGTTGTTTTCGTTTTTGTTATTTGGTTGTGGTCTTCTCTCCACCACTCATTGTCGTTGTGTTGTCTTCTGACATTGTCGCCTCTTATTTTTTTAAAGCAAAGCTTGGAATAACCCAACCAACTTGAAATGACATTCATATTATGATCACACGCATGCAACCTCAAACCAACAACGACACGACAGACGGACGAACATAAAACATTTGGAATATTCATTGAACTCTTGCTGTTTTCTGGGATTCCTAACCATTCCGGCACTCACTCATTCAGTCACCCAGTCAGCATATACTTATGGCTCGAAGTTGGAAATGCTCTTTGTACGCGCCAATTTGAGTTCTTTATTAGGAGACAAGTTTACCACCATCATGCTAGGCTTGGAAAGGTTTTGGGAGAAATGAGAGCTGGTGGATTGGGGAGCAAGGGGAGGTATATCTTCTAGTTGAAGCTGGTCGATTACAATATTCCTGGTCAATTGTTGGACCATCATGTGTTGTAAGGTGTTGCAACAAGGTATGTTGGAACTGGCTGAGGCAGCCACTCAGTCATGGCATATCATTGTCGGCCTCATCATGTGTATGCAGCATAATGGGAAAGGTTTCTTTTTTTTTTGTTGGGATGACGGTATACGAATTTTGAGGCATATGGATTGGTTCCCTAAGAGTGTTTCAAACTCCATAATGTTGTTCCATACATCACAGTTGGTGGTACAGGTTTTGGAATATCAAATTAAAACAAATCACATGGAAGGGTTATGAGGCCCTACAAACCAAAAGGTATTCTGCAGTTTTGTGCAGAATTTGTTTTTTTTTTTCTGAAAAAATTCCAAACCGAAGTTTTTTTATAATTTTAATAGTCCTATTAGGGAAAATTTTTAAACAATTCGAAATATTATAGGTTATTATCAAACCTATTGATAAGACAAATCCCATAAAAGGTATATTTATTTCAAGGGCGTTGTATACCTTTAGGAGGAATAAAAATCTGAAATTTGGAAGTTCTTCGATCAGTTCAAAAATGGTGCATACTTTTAGGAATCCTTAGACAACTGGGGAGAATTTAAGATTATTCAAAGAAATTCTGGATATAATTTATAAAGCATCACACATCTGATGCTGTTATATCAAAATATGATGCATACTTTTAGGAATCATTAAAATAAAAAAAAAACTTAACTGAGAATACATTATTTTCTCTAGTGAAAAGTAAGGTGATCTAATCCCATATTAAATCCAGAGAATGTAGGGAGAAGTGGCAAAAAATATGGTTTTTTATTTCAAAATTGGGTGCATTCTTTTAGGAGTCTTTAATTCTTTAGGAGATATGGGAATTTTTAAGGATTTAGAGTCATTTTGAACTGTTACAAAAAATTTAAAAGCCATTAAACAGAAAATACGAAGAAAATACGAAAGAAAAAAAAACAGATTTTTTTAATTTAAAATTTAGTGCATACTTTAAGGATTAATAAAAAGTTAAGGCAATATTTCACAATATTGCTAACGGGGACGAATGTAGTGGGCCCTTTTAAGGTTCAAGAGTGATTTTTGGCTACTGCGAAAAACTTAAAAGCTATACTGGGAAGCCTGAGAGTAATTTATTTTTTGAGCATTATTGACTTATTTGATGGAATTATTAAAAATATGTACCGAATTTGAATTCAATTTTTTTTAAATAATATAAAAGAACATCCCAAAGGCCATCGTCCTTGGCAGGAGATTGAATACAAAATTTCTTTTAAATAATTTTTATGTTTGTTATGTTTTTTTTTCGAATTTTATCTCCTACGGCTTATTGAAAATCCTCGAAAAAAAGACGAAGCAAAATCTACAGATTTCACAGGAAATCTCAAATACAGTTTTTTCTCTGCTGCTGCTGTGATATTAAGATTTTGCCAAAGGTTTTATTTGTTTCGGGAAGGAAAGAAAAAAAAACAATATTGAGGCTATGTACAACAAAATAAAACTACAACCTCGGAGATTTGGAGAATGGAAACAAAAAACACCCGCAACCTTTTGCTCACATTATGGCCTGGGATGTGTTTCGTTTTTTTTTTTGTGGATTTTTTTATTTCGGTATTGGATTTAAAGATGGCATAACTTCATAACAAATCCTTCAACATACCATCGGAAAAAATGAATGTGCTTTTTTGTGAAGCCTTTAGCCTCAAGAATATAAGCGTGTATGAGGAGATGGAGGTTTTTTGGAAGTTACTCAAAACATCCAGCCAACCATCATTTTGCACAGCGGCAACAGCATCATTCGTTCGCGTCGTCGTCATCATCACACAACAACAACAGCAATCCAAAAAGAGACACCCAAGACCTTTACGCACCATCCTCTATAATAATGATAAGCGGGTTTTTAATCAGAAAATTTATATGTTTTTTTTGGGCATTTGCCTGGGTTCTTCCACATCTCCACCTCTAAGCCTTTGGCTCAAAAGGGGTTCACAATAATCAGACATACCCAGGCTTAGTTACTTACAATCAGCAAGACGAGATATGTTTTTGAGCCTGATGGCTTAAAGCCTGATGGTTTCATATCTGTTTGGGTTATGAAACCGATGATGATGATGGTGTTGTTGGTCAATATCTTCGTTTTTTTGCTGTTAAAGTTGACCATATTATTGGCCATCATTTTTTGTGGCCTCATCCATACTACTTTTTTTGGTTAGTACAATTGTCTGTCCAGGCATATGGCTGGATTTGTTGTATCCCAAAGGTTTCTTTTTTATGCTTTTTTTGCTCAATGAAGCAGGAGAAGGAGATGATGATGATGATGGGTTATGGTTGATCATATAATTATACAGACTGTCAATGTAAGTTAAATGGAAACGCTAAATTTCAATGATTGGAGTTTTTCCTTTCTCCCCTTGGCTTGTAATAGGAACTATTGTCCGAAAACTATAATTAGGGGAATTGAGGAGCTATTTTTTGTAGTATCGATAAAGGTAATATGTATTGTGAGCCAATTCTAAACAAAATTCATTCAGCTGTTTGTGCAAATAACCGGTGTGGATGGTAAGCAATTTTGCGTTATTTGTTTTTTTTTTTTTTTTTTTGTTATAGAAAGAAAATACATATGTGCATAGTAGAAAAAAAAAAACAATTTATTGTTATGCTTACCGCTTGCACTTGTGCCATAATTGTCTGCAATGAAAAAAGGTAGAACAAACATGAAAAAAAATCAAAATTCAGTTTTTTTTTTTTTATAGAGAAAAGAAATACATTTTTATAATTCCTAACAAATTAATTTCCTGTTAGCAGCAGCAGACAAAAAAACAGGTGTTTAATTCTTAAATTCACAATTTTTTATATTTATTTTTTTATTGTTTTTTACTGCCTTCTATGAGTGTGGGAACCCTGCCCCCAAAATCATTTATCATTTGAAGAAATTCCTTGCCTGTCTCTTGGTATTTCATAATTCACCACACGAACTATGTTGTTAAATGTTTTGATGTTGCATGCGTAAACTTTTTCAAATCTAAGCCATAATTTAAGCGATGATTAAAAAACCGACATTGTTTCTTCAAACTGCAAAATGAAATCTTTCAAAAACCCACAAAAAGGAAACATTTAAAACATTTAAGTTTTTGCTTTTTTTGCCCAAAGCCATCAATCAAAATTTTTTAAAATGAAATATTTTCTCAGAGGAGAAAAGTAACAAAAAATGGACAGTATTTAACAGCTTTTTTAAAAAGAATTTAATATGAATCACAATTTTTGAATGAGGATTAAGAAGAAAGGTGCCAATATTTCTACCACATTGTAAACAAAAAAATGATTCAAAAAATACAAATCATAAAACATAAAATTTCTCCACCTTTTTAAAAATTCCTTACCTAAGGCCCATATAAATTGGCTGTCAATATTAAATACTAGTCTTCCAAATACATTTCACATTGAAAAATTAATTTTAAATAGGTTTAAAATACTTATTTTAAGCTATTATTTGTAAAACTAAACAAATATTGATTTATTTTTAATTTCCAAAAATTTCCTGCAAAATCTTTCGTTTTTTAAAATTCCAAATATTTTAATGTAATTTTCATTTAAAATTGACAGTCTTAGCTTTCAAATGAGACATATTTGGTCGCAAAATTTCCACGGCAACTATTTTTAATTTAATTTTTAAAATAATACACCTGTATTAAAAACAATCATACGCTCTATGGTACGAAAAAATAAATTATTTTATTTCTTGGACACGTAAAGCATTTTTAACAAAAATTTTGACATATTGTCCTTAAAATTCCCTATCTCAAATATAAAACCAACAAAATAAAAAGATTTTGAAATTTGAAATATCTTTATTACGCTTTTTAAATTAAATCTTTGGATGAAAAAATATTACTCAATTTTTTTTTTCATTTTAACGAATTTCCTTAATTTCATTGTAAAAATCAAATTGATTTGAAATCTAAATCATTAGCTTCATATTGGTCATTTGAATTAGAAAATGTTCATATTTAGTGAATATTCCTGCTTTTTTCAAAGTTGAGTATTTATTCTCAAAATTTGATAACTTCTTCATACAAATGACGAAAAGTTCTAAATCTAGAAATAATATTTATTTCAAATTTAAATCACTAGCCCTCAAGTGTGCCATTTCTATCAAAAAATTCTTACTTTCATTTATAGTAAAAAATATATTGTTTAATATAAAATATTAATTGAATTAATTTTTAATCGTTGAAAAAATAAGTTTTGATTGTTTGGACGTTTTTGTGCCGTACTCTTTTATTACTTTTATTTAAATATTTTTTTATTTCAAATATGATTTCTTAGCTTTCAAATGAGCCCTTAATGTCCGTAAAATTCCATTTGGAAGTATATTTAAAGCTATTTTCAAAATTTCACCTCTCTATTAATAACAATCATACGCCCCTGGGTACCAAAAACTATTTTCTCTAATTGCTATACTTCCAAATGCAATTTTGCCAACTTTTTTGTTAATTCCCTTAAAACTTGCACCCATTTTATAGTTTATTGACAATTTTGTAAAATTTAATCTGGATTTCGAATGCATTTTTCCCTCAACATTTCTTGGAAACGACACCACCCAAATTCCAAGGCCGCGTCTTCACAAAGTGTTGTAAAATATGGCCATTACACTTTTCAGTTTGGCAAATTGTTAATGTCATTTGTCATTTGCCGTTTAAGGGAAAACAAAAAATAAAACCAATAAATGTGACCTTCTACGTGTATGAGATACTAAGCCAGCAACAAAAAAAAAATTTTAACTTAACAACTTTCTTGTTGTTTAAGCCCGGGATTTGTTTTTATTTTCGTTTTTATGTTTTTTTTTTATCGTCTTCTTTGTCTGTCCTTAACAATTTTTGCATACATAAAAATAAACAAATGCCAAATAGGCGCGATGCATAATGCATTTTAAATTTTCTTCTTTTGCCATGGCTACTGGCAAAGATGACAATGCCACTACTCATGATGATGACGATGACGACGATGATGATGGCGGTGGTGATGACAATGATGGGCTATGGCCATGGTGGTAAAATTGACTGGTTGCCTGGTTGAATTGGATTGGATTGGCGGCTTAAAAAAAACCCAAAGCAAGTTGCTTTGAAATGCAACCAAAACCAAAGTGAATTAAGAAAACAATAAACGTAATGAATTTCGAAAACAACGAATAATGTTGATGGCAGGCAACAGACGACGACATAGCTCTGCAAAACAATTTCAGTCAGTTGTCAGTTGGGCCAGCAAAGACCCGACATTGTTGCTTTTTTATTTTCGTGTGACAATCCATACACGTATTTCATTTAAAGCATCTTAGAATATTAAAATGGGATCAAAATGTTTTCTTAAGCACTTAAAGGAGACCAAACAAAAAAAATCAACAACGACGACAAACGTTTAAATCCAGTCAAAGACAAAACAATTTTAATATGCTAAAAATGTTCCTTTGCTGTTGAGCTGAGACGAAATGAAACTAAAAAAGAACTGCTGCCACATTCCTTTGATTGAAATCCATTTCGTTGTAAACGTTTTGTTAAACAACCCCAGCGATTTTTTTGGGAAACTATTTAAAATGCTGCCAAGGATTGTTTGTCAAAAAAATGAAAATTACTTGAAAAAATTCCAGGCTTAATCACAAGGCAAGAATTAAAGCTTAAGCTTAATCTGCAAAAGGAAATTAAAAAACGGACTGCGAAATTGCAAACCCCCGAAAAAAATGAAGAGAAGACGAAAAAGAAGACTCAACTTGGAAATCTTTACATTTAAGACGATTATTTATGAACTGCAAGCCAAGTGTCATGTGATGCTTACTTAACGCAAGCTTGTTGCTTTTTATGGCCTGGCTTGAAAACCAGCAAAGCCCCCCATGACCTGCTTGTTTTGAGGCCAACACATTGCCATTGCCATAGATGTATTAACGATACCTTCTGCCTTCCAACATCCTCAGGCCTCCATCATCATCCTCGTCGTCGCCGTCATCATCATCATCATCGGCTGGAGTTTCATTTATACGGGTATAAATGTTGTTTATATGTTAACAAACGTGTATCAATGCATGTTCAATAACTTTAAATGACAAAGAAATCAAAATGAATGAAAGTCTTAAAGTCTTCACCAAAAAAAAAAATAAAAAATAAAACGAAGGAAAAGAGTGGCATACGCAACATCTCCAACTCCAAAACTTATGAAGTTTATTTTTTTTAATTTTCTTTCATGAAAGACGAAACGTCCTCCAAACCATACCGAAAAAAAACAAAAATCCCGCAAGACTTAGCTCTTTCTACGCTTGCGACTGCAAGTGATATCCCCAAGTGATTTTAAGGTGTGTTTCAGGAATTTTTTACCCAACATTTTCTGCTTCTTTTTTTTCTACGCTTGAACACATTATTCCGCCAAGAGGCTACAGCTCATCAGTTCTACATTGGAGCTGTGTTAATTCCAATCCATAGTCGCCGTTTTCAACTACTGGCAATCTTAAAGACTTAATGTATTTGGAGAGAAAAAAAATATTGAAAAGAAAAATCCAGCAAAAATCTTAAGTTGAAGTGAAACTTATGGACTTCATCATCTTCGAATGATGATGATGAGGATGATTGCTAAACCAGCAAACATGTTCAGCGTGGCTGATTTGACCAAACCTAAGCCGGCACAAAAAAATATATATCTCTCTAGCATCAGCGAACAAAAAAAATCGAAAATACCAAACACCACGGCCACAACATTCAACAATTCATGTTGATCATCTTTAAACATCATCAGCAAATCCAAAAACGTATCGCATTTCATTGAAGCGCGAAATTATCATGGCTAGCTATGGATTTTGTTTCATTGCAAATCCCAAAAATTCACAAAAAAAAACTCAAGGATGTTATTAAAAAAAAAAAAAAAAACTAAAAAATACAATTATCAAAAACAGAGAGAGAAAAAACACAATTTTGCAATATTTCCTTAATTTTAAAGAGTTTCTTCAAAGAAAAGTTATATTCCAAAAAATTTTATAATAAAATTCGAAATGTTCTCTTAACAATTTGCCAAAGAAATCATAAAAATTATTTTCCCAAATATTTTTAAATAATTTTTTAAAAATTTTCCTCTGTATTAAAAACACTCATACGCACCCTGGGACAAAAAAATAAAAATTCAATATTTCTTTTCCAGGGCAAGCTAACAATTTTATTTCTTTCATTTTAAATTCTACAAACCCCAATCTTCCTTAATCACTCAAAATTGTTGCTGATTATCCCTTTGGCGGTGGGTTTTTTATAACATCTTTCGAACTTCCATTGATTGTTGGTGTGAATCTTTTAAGTTGCTCCACAAGGTTGCAACCAAAACAAAAAGAAGAAGCATATTTTGCATATTGCTGTTGTTAAGTTTTTTGGTTGCCTACAACATACCTCAATTTTGCTTTCTTCATGCCATCGCACAATAGCATAATGATCGTTTGGAGATCGCAACACCATACCGACGGACAGATTTTCTACAAAATAACAGTTTACATTTCAGCAGAAGCCGATCCGACCGACCATCAATGTTGCGCATTTTTTCAGCTTGTTCTTAATGTTTCAAGTGAAAAACCCCCCACAACAACACAAAACGTTAACGGCGTCTATTTTGTTGTTGTTAAGTTTTGCATTGTGAGCTTATGTTGCAGCCATTTGTTTCTTGGTTACTGGGGTTTTCAAGTCAAAAATGGCGTTACACTCAATGCACATGCAACAAACGATCTTCCTTCCTGCCTCAATATCTTCTACCTTCCTTCCAAACTACCACCGACGCTTAAGTAACAGAATTGCTTTTGAATAGTCGTTTGTTTTTTTTTCTTCCTCGTGGTGTTGTTGGCTTCTTTTCCCGAAACTACAGAATAAAAGCCTTTAAATGCATCTCTATTTAGAAATGTTTTTGAAGTGTTTTTGTTGTTTGGATTTTTGTTTTTTTGTTCGCTTCTTAACACAAATCAAGCAAAAATATCAAAGTATTTAAGCCGCAAACTTCTTTTCTTTGTAACGGCCAGCAAAGCTTTTAGTATGCATCAAAGTAAGGCTAAGCCTTCAAGAAACACCACATTGGCGGAGATGATGACTACGATGCCGACAAGGCTGATGCCAATGTGTCTTGAAAGACTGTTGGAAATCCGCAGGGAGGGGGTGGTGGTGGAGGGAAATCCAAAAAATCATTGTTTAACAAAACAACAGCAACAACAACTTCAAGTGCAAACCGCTCATCTTTATGCAAAATTTACAATACAACTGTTGTAATTTCTAGTATTTCGCCAGACATTTAGTCTAGGCTGGTGTTTCCGACTACTTCTTCTGCAGTACTTTTTTTGTGGAAATGTTAGGCTTCACTGGAAGAAGTTTGTTGTCGTTTTTTTCCATCTTTTGTTTGCCATTTCGATTTCCTTTGCTTAGTTTTTGTAACATTGTATTTTGTGAAAATGCAGAAAAAATATCACAAAGGGCTTTTGCTGCTTATCTTATCTTTGGCTTATTACTAAAAAAATAAAAACAAAGATCTTTCAATGCCGCTGATTTATGCTTGATTGCAATGTTTAGTAAATTATAAACATCATAAGTTGTAGATTTTTTTTTTGTTTTTATCTTTTTGTAATCATGAGTAAGCAAGAAATTTATGAGAAATCAAAGAAAAAATTAAATCCCTCCCAAAACAGAGAATTTGTAGCGACTTTACGAAGGCATTTTGGAATTGGAAGTATTTTTTCTGGAATCTTTAAGGTCTTGGCATGGATTGTACGTTAGAACTTTGAAAAAATTATGGATAGAAATGTTTTAAAATTAATTTTAAAAATATTTCCCATAATTAATATCAGTCATACGCACGGTGGTTCAAAATGTATTTTTGCTTGTTTTTAGAGTATTTTCATTATATTGGAAAGTTTTCTCTACGAAATCGATTAATTATGAAAATATTGAATACATTTTGAAGACGAAATTGGAATAGCTAGCAAATTTGGGGAAAAATAAGGTGAAACTATTAAAAATGAGGTCGTTTTAACCCAAAATGGCTCACTTAAACTTTTATTTGCAACAGCTTCTTTAAATTTATGAATTCAAGTCTGTGTATCTTGCATTATTAATTTATAAACATAATAAGTTTATTTTTTATATATATACAACCTTTAGTAACTTGCAAATTTATATGAAATAAAAGTAAAATCAAATCCAACTCCCTAAAATTATAATTTTGATCATTTCTGCCGACTTTTGCAATGGTTGTTCCTATTGGAAATATTTTGCATGGAAATAGAAAGTCTTGGCTTCGATTTTTCATAAAAAAGTTTCAAAAATTCCTGATGGAAATGCTTGAATAATTAATTTTAAAAGTATTTTCCATAATTAATAATAATCATACGCAGGGTTGTGCCACATTCAAATGTTGCTTGTTTTTAGAGTTTTTGGTTATTTTTGAACGCATTTCTTCCTGAAATCGATAATTTGTGGGAATATTAAAAACTTTTAGAAGAAAAAATCCAAGTATCTGCAAAATTTGCACAAAAAATTAGGCTTACATGCCAAAAAGGGGTTCTAAGGATAAACGAAATAAATTTGATGGCTTTCTACCACTTTTATTTCCACTTAATACTTTTTTTTGATAAAATTATGTCCTAAGCTTAGCAATTTGAAATGAATCTGATAATTGCTTTTGAAAACCCAACAATGTGAATTTAAATAAAGAGAATTAATATCAATTATGGGCAGGAAATTGCTTTTGAATTATTTTCATTTGAGAGGAATTTTTTATAGTTTTCATTTAAAATTGGGAGAAATTATCATTTTGTATAAAAAGTATAAAGACAGGGCTTTAAGTTTTGAAATTAGCTTAGAAATGCCTGAGATTTTAATTTCAAATCTCTTCGAGTCATTTAATGTCAATACGCAGGGAAGTTTCAAGATTATCCAATAAGTTTGTAGGACTTTTGATTGTTTTTATTCAAAAATTGGGAGAAACTATTATTTTTTATGAAAAATATACAGTCTAAGCTTCCAATTGACGTTGAAAAAGTTTTGAAATTCGGATCAGAAATACCTAAGATTTTAATTTTTAAAATCTTCTCTCTAATTAATATCAATTATACGCAGAGCAGTACCCAATGATTTTATTGACTTCTAATATTATTATTTAATAATTTTGGAATCATTTGAATCAAATATTTTATAAAATAAAGTGAAAACACTTTCTTTCGATATGTCCTAAAGTTTTTTCGTGATACCTAAGTTTCTTCTTCCAAAATAATGTCAAAATTTAATTGCCATAATTTTAAGCAGACTTTACCAATAATTTTTTTTATTATATTTTTTTTAATGGATTTTAGAATATCTTTAGGGCTTCTGAATATTTTTTCAATAGTTTTAAATAAATATTTGTTACGTTTTTACTTACCGGGACTACCCAGGAAGACTGAGGAATATAACCGTCTTGAGGCATCGGCATTTCTAGTATCGGCGGCAGGTGATGACCATTCTCTTCGACACCATCGACCTGAAAAATCAATGGAAAAAACAATTGTTATTCATACATATTGACTAATAGTTATTTCCAAAAAAAGGCAAATGAAAATATAGAATTCAAAAACTACAACAAAAAAACATTAGCAAAAATTAAAACAAATACGCAAGCAAAGTTTATGTGGTTTCTTTTTGACGTGGTGGTTTTTTTCTACGTTTCTCTTGTTTTTTTTTCGGTTACGGTGAAATTTAAATCCCCCAAAGCCTTTAAAAAAAGGCAAACTTAAAAAATATCAATATTTTTTTTCCTCTTTTCGTTTGGCTCATAACACTTGTCATGTTTATATTAAAAGGCTTAACATATCAGAGACGACGTCGACACACTCACACACACATGTAGTAGAATATTTCAAATATACATGCCGCATAGATTGGATGTTTTTTTTTTTTCTGCGCTGGACTATTTTTGTTGTTGTATTTCTCCTATCGCATAAAATATTACTTAAAAATAAATATATAACACTTAAGCGGGTATTATAGATAAATATTGACAGTTTGACAAAGATATGGAATGGTACAAAGAGTTAAAGACATAAAAACTGGGAAAAAATTATATAAAAATTAATTTCAAACGTGGGTTGTTATTAATAATAAAAAAATAGTGTTTGAAACATAATAAGGTTTTGAGCCGTCGTCATTGAGTCTGGTGTGGTAAAATATTTTGCCATTTGCCGTTATAAAATATAACGAATCAAAAACAGTTTTTTTTTATTTTTTCTTGTTGCCGGAGTTTATGGCCAATAACAACAATAAGGAAAGTCAAAACTCCAAACAACCTTATGGTGTATTTTTTTTCATTCTTGCCTGTAACAAGAGCCTTTTGTGTATAATGTTGTTTAATTTCGAATGACGTTAATAATAATTTATTTTATAACCTTAAATGGCACATAAAAAACACCAACAATGCTGAACAAGAAAATTGGCATACCTTAAGGCTTGCTGGATGGCTGGTTGGTTTTTTTCATCCTTACAATAAGTTAAGGCGTTGTATATTGAACAAACAACCAACCCACCCACCTACCTTTGTTTAAATTCTTATGCATATCCGGAACAAAACTCTAAGAAGAAATTTGAGCAGCTCATCCCACCACCACCACCACCGACCCAAGAAATTAAGTTTAAGGAAACAAAACGCAAAAAAAAAAAGAGAAAACAACTCGCAATGACTTCTATGCAAACTTAATGGCCAATTTTCCATTTTTTTAATGTAATGTGCGTATTAAATTTAATGTTTTTGTGGGGTGTTTATGCGTATGTTTCGTTATACAGAGTGACAATTTTTTTGTTGTTGTTGGATTTTTTTTTGGTATAGGGAAGTGAATGACCCTGTTAAGTTTGGAATTGTGGGGGAGGATGTTGTGTGGTTGTTTTTTTTTTTTGTCTTAGAGGTGTGTTATTGTGTCATTTGGTGTGTCATATTTCTTAATATAAATATTAATCAGTTGTTGGTTGTCGTTTTTGTTATTGTTGTAATTGTGGAAATTACAAAATAAATAAGAAAATTGGTTCATTAGAAAGTTTTTTTTTTGGATTTTTTTCCGAGGAAAGGTAGAAAAAATCCTGGGGGTGTTCTCAGAGGGGAAATATTGCATTATTTTTTATTTATATTTAACAAATAAAGTTTGGTATTGAAATTTATGGCAAATAAAAAAAAAATATTTGTAGATTTTTTGGGGTCCCAATATTAGATATGCAACTGCACTTTTAATAACTGAAAAATTAAAAAAAAAACCAGATAAGTTCAGCTGACCCGGGAACTTGCAAAATGTAAAAAAAATCCATTAAAAATTTAAAAATTCCGAATTTCTGGTGTAGCAGTTATTATCTGCCCGAGAAGGGTGCCCATCACGAACTCCAAACATCGAGTTTGAGATATTGTTTTATTTTCATCACATAAAATATTTTTTTATTGAACACAGACTCAGATATTTCATTTGAATTTCAAATCAGAGCGCCATCTATTGATGCAAAAATTCTGCAGTTTTCTATTTCCAAAATCTAGCAAAAAAAAATAAACTAACTTCTTTGTTTTTGTTTTAATGTTCAAACACATCTCACATTGTCTTTAGTCTAGTGTAGAAATAGACTCTAATCCAATATTTCATAAAAATATGTTTCTTGACTCCCATGGTCCCCTCTTTAAATAACAATATATCTCATATCTTCCCCCCAAGGAGTTAATAAAGATTTCAATTTCTTAACAAAAGTCTCCCAAATCGCTTTCACACCTATTTTGCGAAAAAAAAGATTTGTTAACCCTCTGCAACTGACGTGGTCTAATTGTAACAATGTGACTGACATGGGGTCTAGCAGACCTCATTTTTAAACCGATTTCCCATGCTCAAATTTTTGACTGGCGCCTTCTTGGCCTTATTTATGTACAACAGTAAACGATTGCTCTTTTCACACTGAGCGACTTAGGAGCATGAATAGAAAAGGTAACGAGAGCGTAGAGATCGTAACTTGTTATATTACAAAGTTACGAACGATTGTTCTCTTTGCGGGGTCTGTCAGACCATACGTCAGTTGCAGAGGGTTAATACGCCAATAACAACAATTGCTAAACAAAAAACCCCATACATATTACATTTCACACCATTGCAGCCGTCGCTACTAAAATCTGCCTGGCTGGCCTGCCAGCCTACCTACAACAATTGCCTGCCATCGCGCCGCCATCAACATATAATATTTTTCTTCTTGTCATTTAATAGACTCACGGTCACGACCCCCAAAAAATGAAAATATTTCGCACATAAATCTTAATAATTCTTTTTTTTTCATTTTTCGTGTAGCGTTTTTGTCCACAACATTTTTGTTTTATCCCCAAAACAAAAAAAAAAAAAAAAAAAAACGAAAACCAAAACCAAAACCAAAAAGCTGCCAAACAGTCTGCGATTTGTTTTGGGGAGCAAGCCATGCGGCGCAAAACAAGAAAACACTCCAAGCGAATTTGCTAAGAGAATTTAAGAGTGGAAGAGAAACGGCTTGGTTGCTTTGTGAGTGTGAGAGTCAATGGCAATGAGTTATTTCCCCTCCACTGCTTTGATTGTTGTTGATGTGTGTGCGTGTGCATGGGATACGTACTCTTCACAAATACCGTAAACAGTAAAGAGTAAAGTGGAATGAGTATAAAATTGGCTAAATGAGTGAGAGTGGGTAATTTGAAAGAGAGTACACACAGTAATATCGTAAATTGAGTATTTCCATGGTAAATTTTAAGAGTAAGGGGTACTTTTTCAAAGGGAACAAACTCTTTTGGTGGTGTTTTATACAAGAATAATTTTAAGAAATTTGAAAATAATTTATATTTTTAAAACAAATAATTTATAATTTTTTGTAAATTTTATTTTTTTGAAGTAACATAAAATTATTAAGACTCTCTTATTTTATGTGGTTTTTACTAGTCTCCCTTCTATACTTTATATAATCATCATTCAGCAAGTCACCCAGCCAGCTAGCCAGCCATTTTTCCATTTTATAGTAATTGTTGTTGTTGTTGATTTTTTGCGCGCCTCTTGCTTGTTGTTATTGCTTGCCGATAGTGTAAGTTAAAGTAGTGTTGGTAGTAGTAGTCGGACTCGATTTTCTTGGCTGCTAAAAAGACGGATGTGTGTGAATTTTTGTGCTTTTTCATATGGCTGTCATATGGTGGCCTTTAAAAATGGGTGGAGTGTCATTTTTCCATGCAACAACAACAACGCGAGTATTGCTGTTGTTGTTGCTGTTCTTGTGACGAGACAACATGACTTTTCTTAGTTTAACACTGCTATTTGCCTCATTTCTTAATTGAGTGTTGGTATTATTTTGTTTTTCTTCTTGTTCTTGTTCTTCTTCGCCTTGATTTTACAAAAGACGACGGCATTTTTGTCTTGGAGCCGTCGCTGGAAAATAATTAACTAAAGGAATTTTATTTTTCTTTTTTTGTGGGTTGTTGATTTGCTTCATTTAGTTTTGTTTTTGGGATTTATTTTAAATTAGAAAAATATCCTCCCTTCCCTTCTGTGTTATTATTAGATAGAAGAATTTTTGGAGGAGTTTCTGTTGTTTTTGTTTCATTTAAATAAAATTGTATTTCGAAAGTGACAGTTAAAATGATTTATCACTTTGTTTGGCTGGCATTGGCATCCCCATATCTGTTCTATGCTAAGCTATCTATCCACATCTTTGTTAGGGCAATTTTTGGTGGGCCTTTTTTTGTTTTGTTCCATCAAATCAAAATTTGAAGAAACAAAAACAATTTCATAGACATTTTTTTTTGGAAATGGAATGAATCTATCTGCGTGGATTTATTTTTGTCAAGGGGACAGTGGACAGAGGAAAGGCAAGAAATTTTGTTAAGAAATAAACGAAATAAACGAAATTCGAAGAAAGAAAATTAATTCGGTTAAAATTACATCTTTGGTTATTTTTGTGAGAGGAAAAGGGATTTATTTTTAAATTAATAAAATTAGAATATATTTCTCATTTAACCAAAATTTCTTCCGACAAGAAAAAAATTAACGATATTTCTGGCGGAATATAATCGTTGCCGGACACTTTTGTAATAGGCAACGGTACGAAGAAAAATTCGATATTTGTGGGTATACTATTGAACCGAAAATCCATATATGGTTGGTTAAAAACTTCCTGAAGAAAATGAGGTCCTTAAAACTATAAGTTTGGATTTTTTTTTTTAACTGAACTACGGGAGAAAAATTAAAATATTTTGTGAAATTCTGGAATAATATATTTTAAAAAATTAAATAGTTCAATTTTTTGTATTTTTTTTTTTCAAAGGTATCAGCAGGTGATAAAGAAAGAAATTTTTTGAAAACTAATAAATTTGAAATATGTGAAAAAAATTTTAATTTCGGAAAGACATAGAAAACAATTCAATTTGTTGTTGTTATTTCGGAAATATATATTTCAGAATTTTTTACAAACAAACCAATGGAAACAAAATATACCCATTGTTTCTTTTTTAATTAGAGTCGA